TTGCATGTTCAAACAGAAAAAAAACGATTGTGCTTCATTTTAGGTTGTTTTCTTTTTACAATGAGAAAGAGGTGTCTCACGAATACATGAGATTTGTAATTTTACAGATCCCAAATGGTACTGAATGTGACCAACAACTATAATTGTCACTGACTGCAGTAGAATGAAAGATCATACTTCATGTACAATGCTTTAAATCAGGGGTTTCCAAACTTTTCAGCCTGTGACCCCCAAAATAACAATGCCAGTGACTCACAACCCCCAAATTACTCAGAGGGGGTTATAAATATACCATTGTTGTGCACACAACAATAGGCCTATATAAACACAAGCATATTGACAACACAAAAATGTGCAACAGTCTAACAACCATATCACTTTGCTTAATTTAATATTAACCTCATCTAATGAGACTGCTGGGCACAATGTTTTCAGTCGATTCTTGGTTTAATTTTGAAGACTGCCAATCAGAGATAATTCTTAATGCTCAAGTGTAGTCTGTATTTATTTTTGTACTGTATTTGATAGCCATAAAGGTGTCAGAAAGTTTAACCTAGTGCTATAAAATCAATCTGCTGCAGCTGATGCTATTGCTGTGTTGCTAATCTAATGTAAGCACAAAAATAAATAAATAAATAAGTTAAAGGCAGATGGCTTTTTATTTGCATGGTGTTGTTTTTTTTGTGTAACTATAAACCACTATTTTTATCTTCTGTGGGTTATGAATAAAACATGGTAATAGGGTATATGCCGAGCTAGTGTTGTTCCCATACTGATAAACTTCCGGTGACCCGTTATTGTGAGTTTTTTTTTTTGTTTTTTTTTTTTTCATTTTATTCAGTTCCTTTTACAGCATTGATGTTGTAATGTTATTAAAATACATTCAGGATCGGCAGGTTAGCACAGAAGCTCCATTGATTATACTGGGGTAAAATAGATGCTCATATTATAAAGACATGGCGGGGGGAAATGTAATTTACTGCAGTGCTTCTTTTACAATCTGAGCCCCACTTTATATCAGATATCACTCAGTCAGTGGAGATCACTGATTTTTTAAAAAAAACAGACCTTAAACACGCAGATTTTGCATTGGCATTCAATTCACCGGAAGCAGTTAACCCAGGTTACTGGCAAATTAAAAGTCATATTAGCATGCTTCAGCATATACCGTATTGTAATAGTTTAATAACATTTAATTTATGTTTTTGTTTAGTGTTTCTGAGATGCTGAACCTACAAGTATAAATTGAGAGTACTTGTCTATTAAATGAGAACAAAACAAATCACAAAATGTGCAGAGAAAAAAGGTGAAGAGAAAGCAGTCTTTGAGAGATTTACTGACTCAGCAGTTATCCCAAAATAAAAGTAATCATCAGTAAATCGACAAAACATTCCAGTCAAACATGTCAGAAGCACTCACTCAGACTCAATGAAACCATGGACAAAAAAGTGGTCTGCTGGCAGCATTATTTCTAGCCCAAAAATTTCCCCTCCTCTCTTTTTACTGTGGTTGAGTTGGAGGCCGTTCAACCGAAATGGAACATGTTTTGAAACTTCATCTCTACCCTGTTTCTCTCTCTCCCAACTCCTGCTTCACCTTTCCCACCTCTCTATCCCTCCCCTCCAGCGCGGCCCACATGCAGCCTCTCGTATGGGGGGCTACCAGTCATTATGGCTAATTTTCCAAATCCGAATAGCTTCTGGTGAAGACGGCTTTAATGGGGGGAGCGGTGTGTTTCCAAGAAAAGGGGCTTGGCATGGAGCCCACTCAAACAAGAAGCACGTTTCAGCGTCTGCACTGCCTGTTGATTTAGCACACTTCAAAGCTGAGCTATACGTGGCCCACGCACATCCTGCACTCGACCCCATCCACGACACGACAACTGTTAAAACGGGTAAAACATGGTGCAAAATATTGTGTGTGTGTGTGTGTGTAGGGGGGTTTAACTGCATGCTTTAGAATGTAGAGAGAGCTTTAGGTCTCGGGGAGAGGGGGAAGCACGTGTGTATGTTTATTTGGTTAGGCCTGAAAATCTGGCAGGCACCCTGAAGACTCCAAGCATGGGACACCTTAATCTAAACCACTAGACATGCAATACATAAGAGGAGAAACCGCCAACACTCTCTAGGCCCCCAAAGAGGACATAAACAACTATACTTTTTTTTTTAAAGGACAAATATTTCAGTTAAGAATTTTTTTTGTGAAGAATACAAAAATTCTGGGGCGACACAGTAGCTCAGTGGTTAGCATTGTCACCTCACAGAAAGAAGACCGCTGGTTCGAGTCCTGACTGGGCCAGTTGACATTTTTGTGTGGAGTTTGCATGTTCTCCCCGTGTAGGCATGGGTTTCCTCCAGGTGCTCAGGTTTCCTCCTCAGTCCAAAGACATGCATTACAGGTGAATTGAATAAGTGAATTGAATGTATGTGCGTGAATGAGTGTGTATAGATGTTTTCCAGTACTGGGTTGAAGCGGGAAGGGTATCCGCTGTATAAAACATATGCCGGATAAGTTGGCTTTTATTTCACTGTGGTGACCCCTGATGAATAAAGGGACTAAGCCGAAGGAAAATGAATGAATGAATGAATGAATGAATTAATTTACAAATTCTGTCAATCAATCAATCAATAAATAAATAGTTTCTTATGCTGCACCAATATATTTTTGACAATTGGCAAAAAACAAACAAATATTGAACTGAATTAAATTCAAAATTATATATTTTTTCATTTATGCCAGAAATATAAGAACATTAAATAAGAGCATGTTCCACGAAAATATATTTTTAATTTTGCTACTGTAAATATGTCAAAACTTAGTTTTTGATTAGTACTGTGAACTATTAAACACTCATATCAAAGGCAATTTTCACAATATTTTGCTATTTTTAATGTTTATATTAACTATTGCAGTATCACGTTTTAAATTGACTTATAGCAATAAAACAAACGGTTCTATTTAAAACACAGTGTAGTTTAATGCTGTATGCACAGGTCAAGCAAAATCTACCTTGACTTGATTTGCTTACCAAAGTCTCTCCATTGTCAGGTGACAGTGTGTACATTTTAACAAAATCAGATTAATTTACATAATTTATTTGGAACATTTAATTTCAGTTAGCTTTTAACAATAAAACAAACAAACAAAAATTACATTAAATTTGAATTGACATTCTCAAAACCATCCTAATTATTCGCCCTCTTTTCTCAGATGGGATGGTGGGCCAAATCAAAGGTTACCATGGGCCAACTTTGACCCAAAGGCCCTAGTTTGGGCATCCCTGCAAAGTTATACATCAAGGTGAAAGCTTTATTTCCCTTTTATGTTAAATATAAATCTCAATAATAAAAATAAAAAAACTAATTGCACTGATGACTGGTTTTGTTGTTCCAGGGTCACAAACAAACAAACAAACATTGCTTTTTTAAAATAGTTTAAGCCAACACAGGAATTTTACGTAGGGATAATTGAACCTATTTTGGGTGGATCAATACAAGAATAATTAGGCCACAAAAATCATTCTTGTATGATTTATTTATTTATTTTATTTGTTTATTTGGCAGGGACAGTGTACATTAATTAGCATTTCTGCAAATTCACCGGAATTAGCCAGAAGGCTATTTTTCATCTGTTGTCCCTTGTCCTTTTGTTGTTCCAAACATATAAACCTTACATTTGCCACATGATGTGCTTTTTGTATGCGTTTATATATGTGAATAAACTAAAGCTACCTTCACCTTTACCTGCACTTACTTAAACTCAAACTAACTTCAGGGGAACAGAAACATCTCAGGTTTTATTAAAAAATACCTAAGCCTAACGGGATTGGAAGGATGTGAGGCTGAGAAAAGAACTGACTGATTCAGAACTGTTAATTTTATTAAACAATTTCTTTTTTGATGTGACATTCATTTTATTGTTCTGCACATCTGCATGCATTTGAAGGAAATAAAAGCAATATGTAAATCTAAGACCAACAAACACTCCTTTATATGTCTTTGCAGCTTGCATGCTCTTATTAATTCTTACACTGTAAAATTATATGATCAATTCAGCCTGATCTCACCAGAAAACACAAATATTTTTTGTTTTGTCAGTTTACTGGCTAATTTGTACAAATTCATAGGAGTTCAGTCGTTTGAAAATGTATGATTTTTAAAAGGAGGCGTGGCTCTAAACCCTGCTTTTAAACCCAACGGTCATTGGGTGATGAGCAAATCATAATAAATTGTACAAATTAGATTGTTCGAATTCCTACGAATTAGCCACTAAATCAAAAAGCTACGAACTGCTGTAAGATTACTTGGATTAATTAGTCATGAGTACATAAGTTTCATTATATTTAGTTCATTATAACTTATTAAACTAAGTTAATCGAGTTCTAACTTAATTTAATAAGTTATGCAAGCTGTTTTAAAACAGTTTAACATAATATGAGTTCAATGGACTCATTAGGTTAACTCGATTCAGCTTCAAAATGTAAGGCAACCAGGATTTTTTTCAGTGTAAACCCAAAACCATAACCACATTTATTTTTCAGCCTTGCATGAGTAAATACGCTTATTGTGGCAGTGTTTACACAATCATAATAATTAAGCAGAATCAAGCTGCCTATTATTGTTTGTAATTGCTATAAGGAAACACATAAGCTAGAGAGGAAATAAGCATTTGCGGTCCACCATAATTAGCTGTCCTCAATGTAAGCGTATTTACATATCAAATTATATAATAATAAAATACATTTGATCCTTTTATGAATTAACAAAGAATTATTTTGAGGCTTTGTGTAATGTATCTACCAGAACACTGTACTACTGTCATAAAATTTGATTGGTAGGTTGTTGTTTCAAGAACAGCAACAGATTACATCATTCCTTTGCTTGCCTTCTTACTGCTCCAGACTGTACTGATATTGTACAACTGTACAACTGATATTGATTATCAAATACTATCTTTAGTTTAAAAGACAACACCTGTGTGGCATATGTTTGACCTCTTACCCGTCTCTGTGACTCTGCAGGATTGATTTTAACTGGCAGGGTTGGCATCCCATCCAGCATCAACATCCTGATAGCGCTGTTCCTGTGAGGGATGGAAGAAAAAAAATGTTATTTAATGTTTTATTATTTGTTTATCTGTGATGACACGACATAGTAGAAAGCTTTCAGTCTTGGATTAGTCTTACAGATCATATAGGAGTTATGCTTTATGTCAGTCCAATAGATAGACTGTGCGAGGATAACAATAAACACATGTCAGAGAGCACGCCAGATGGTTTAATAAGAATTAATATATCATTCTGAGAAGTGTTTACTATAGCTACTAAGTGAAGAATTTTATAGTCATGTTTATGAAGATCAGATGCGCTGACTTTTGAAAAATCATTTGTTTCTTATCATTCAGAGAGTTCTGTTCACAACTCCGTTTGTGAGCACAGCAAATTGACAACAACTGACTTGTATTTTGCCAGTGAGTCTTGTTTTAGATCCTTTTAAATCAACAATCTTGAATTATGACATTTGGCATGCCATAAATGACTCAGTGTGGAATGTTCTGATACATAACTGTTCATTGACATTGCCCATGTGTCATATTCAGTTAGGATGTCATTAAACATATGCACTTTCAGAAAATAAGAGATGATTATACAGTAGAATTTACACGTTTTGCTGGACAAGATTGTCAATAAATACTAAAAAAATACATTTCCTTTATATACAGTATTACAGGGATATATCCTCCAAAAATCCAAATCCAAATCCCTCATCCTCCATACATTGCAATCGATTTGTGTTAGGACACCAACGCAATTAAAGTGGAAGTAAAGCAGCCAGTCAACTTTACATTATAAAGTGGATTTCACTTTAATGAAAATATACATTACAAACTCGATTGATGTAAACATTTAGAAGAAAATGGTATGTTTTACTATAGCTTTTAGCACAAGGTGCCGCCATCCTGGAATATTGCTGTGTCTGATGTTCAATTCTGAAAACTTATTGCTGTATACATTTCTGGAGAGAGCAAAATACATCCCTGGAGCTATGTTTTTTTGCAGTTTTTGTTTTCACCAATTTGCCAGAGGCCGCTCTGTACGCATTTTCAGATCTCGAATTTCTCTCGCATGTGCCATTCGCGGCTACTCTTCTTACGTGAATCCACTACAGGCCGCTGTCAACTGACTGACCAACCGACTGATCCCCTCACCCTCACCCTTCCCTTAACCCAACTGATAGTATTTTAAAAAGCCCCAAATGGACCAGTAAACCTTCCGTCCCAAAAACCCAATGCAGCCATACATACCTCTGGCTACATAATTTGCGATCTCCAGATATGTATATAGGGCAAAGTTTTCAAAATGAGCCTATGTTGTTCTATCCCCTTAGCTGAACAGATGCAGTGGAAGTAATGGACTGAACACAGAGAAAGCCTATTTTAACCCAATGTGTGAAGTTGTGGGTTTAGAGCAGGTAAAAATACAAGCATCAGATGTGTGTCTGATATATGAACATATTTTTATTCTGATTCTTTTAATAACCAATTGTTTGATGCACTTTGGTTCATTCTCTGTATTACTCTGCCTGACTACAGCTAATCAACTTATTTTGTGTTCAAAATAAACTAAGATCGGGTCAGTTTTTCACATGGCAGGTATTAACCTTCTTCATACATGTTGAAAAATCAATTTGATCGATTTGAAAAGGGACCATGTCTTGACAATCCACACAGATGTGACTTAGAAAAGAGTGAAGCCATGTATCATTAAAATTGTTGCAATAGTCTGAATGTAAATCCCTTCATCAGACAGCACTGCAACAGCGTGAGAGAGTGGACCTAAGTGCATCAAATAAAAGGTATTAAAAAAGAAAAAAACATACATTTTTGTATTTATAAGACACAACTTTGACGCTTGTATTTGCACCAGCTCTGCGATGCACATTCACAACTTCATGCAATAGGCTGTACAGTCTCCGACATGTTCAATCAATTACTTCCACTGTATCTGTTCAGCTGAGGGAATGGAACCAAGCATGTGACGTCAGACACATAGATATTCCAAGATGGTGGCACTTTGCACTCGCTATAGTAGCTATAGTAAAACATGCCACTTTCTTTAAAATGGTTACATCACTCGAGTTTGTATTGCATATTTTCATTAGTGGAAATCAATTTACAAAAAAATGTAAACTTGCCTGACTGCTTCACCTTCAAGTTAATTAATTAGTTTATACAAACTAACCCCCGATCCCCCTACAAAAAAAACCTCTCAAGAATTGTGTTTTTATCAGCTCATTTTAAATAAGTAGTTTGAACAAACAGCAAAATTATTTTTTTTTAGTGTAGACAGCAATGTTTCTGACTAGTTCAAAGATCAAAAACGATACCAAAAAAAATCCAATCAAAACAGTCCATGCGTTTTCGGTGGTTCAATCTGAATGGCATGCTTTTTTTTGGCCCATAATACGTAACATCATTTTTTTTTTTGTGTTAATATATTACAGAGCACTTGTGGTGCTATTGACGTGGGATACAGGTAAGGTTAGGAACTGGTTTGATGGTATGGGTGAGTTTAACAATGGGTTAAGTTGTAAAGGAATGGGTCGCCAGTAATTAGCAATGTAATTACAGAAAATGATAACAGATGTGAGGGAGGCACACTGGCTCAGTGGTTAGCACTGTTGCCTTACAGCAAGAAGGTTGCTGGTTTGGGTCCTGGCTGGGCCAGTTGGCATTTATGTGTGAAGTTTGCATGTTCTCCCTGTTTGCGTGGGTTTCTGTTTTTCCCCACAATCCAAAGACAAGCGGTAGTTGAATTGAATAAACTAAATTGACCGTAGTGTATGTGTGTGAATGCGAGAGTGTATGGGTGATTCCCAGTGCTGGGTTGCAGCTGTAAGGGCATCCGCTTCGTAAAACATGTGCTGGATAAGTTGGCGGTTCATTCCGCTGTGATGACCCCTGATAAATAAAGGGACTAAGCTGAAGGAAAATGAATGAATCAATCACAGATGTAATTCCATGCACGTGTTTTTTATATTTAAGTATATTATAAAACTGTGTATGTAAATAATACACCACTTGCTTAATTTAAATGTAAGCACATAATAGCTAAAGCCTCGTAATATAAAATGAGATCAAAAACTAAAACCATGCTATAGTAAATGAATGAAATGTTCATACTGCAACAAATAGTTTCCAAATTCCAGACAGCAGGAAAATGGGAGGTGTGAACCATTTACACTTGCACAAATGACTAGAATTCAAATGGACAAGCTGTTACATCCACTAGAATCACTCTAACAAATACTACTAATTCCCTGCTGCTGTACTGTCATAATAAATTGAATAATCTTCTGCAAATTAATAGGTCAGTTACTTGATATTCATTTTATATTCTTCAATAAGGTTTTTGAACTCTTAAATATTTTTGTTTGTTATTTTTGGAGTTCATAATGGCAGATTGATACAACTTTCCAAACACTAATCCGGAAAAAATGGTTGCATTAAAATAATAAACTATCAATAAAATAAACCTATAAAATGATTCGACATGTTCTCTTAATTTTCCTATTATTATTATTTCATAATTTTATTAATATCTAAAATATGGTGCAGCAAATATGCAGGAAGAAAAGATAGTAAGAGAGGACTCTTGCAAACCTCTATGACAAGTTTCTGTAAATATTAGCGCTACGAGAGAAACTTTGGTGTTGGCATCAGAAAGTCTGACCAGAAACACTTTTATGCAGTTAAATCTGACAGACAGGTTGAAGCTTTAAAGCTCTAGAATAAGTTAGAGTCACTTTCTTTTTTTAATTTTAGTCTTACAATGAGAAGAGCGGAAACAAGAAATTGATTGCATTGTTTAAATGGTATGTTGGCTTTATTTGGCCAATATAATATTTATGACAAAGTAAAGTAAGTTTGAACTCTTAAACAACATGTTTAGATGCCAAACATCTTTATGAATGTGATATTTCATGACATATGTTTTTAAAAAACTTTTGATCAATGGTATATTCATTAAACATTTTTCTTAAAATTTAATACTGTATGAATCAAACACAAACATAATTGCTAATAAAATGAACTGTACTTTATTAGGTACACTCTTATTAGCTAATTGGTCATTGACCTCAATCACACTTAATTGCTCTGATCCCACTTTCTTTTTTACTTTATGAATTTTCATTAAAACTAGCACTAAAGAACTGAAACCTTGGCAACTGTGCCCTCAGAAACTTGCATAAAAGTCTATTCGGAAGTGTTGCATAAGTCTGAATGCTCTCTTGGTTATTGGAGGTCATGAGGTTAGTCCTGTCTCATAACTCCACTGCACTGATAAATAGAGGAGGTGGATTATATCTGGAAATCACCTGATTTCTTCCTGCTACTGCAGTGCTTGCAGATTCATTAGAGAGACTGGAAACTGCTGACTGTTTTGGCTTCTGTTGACCTGGTTAGTTTACCTCCCTCTCTCTCCCTCTCTCTCTCTGTGTGTGTGTGTGTGTGTGAGTGACTGTAATCCCTGGCACACAGGATGTAGGAGGAAACGGGTGGGGTCAGAAGGGCTGTGCCCACTTAAAAACCATGCTTTCAAATGTGTGACTTGTATTCATGTATACCTTGCTTTTTTAATACAGCGAATGTCCAAACCCAATTTAAAAGCATCAAACTAAAAACAACTGCCTATGAGCGTACTTCCCTATGAGATTTTCTACTTACATTTACATTTAGTCATTTAGCAAACACTTTTGTCCAAAGCGACTTACAATTGTGGAGGCACCATGTTGCCTGAGTGTTGATTGACAACCATGTTGAATGAGTGTTTCTACACATGGTTTGTTAAGCCCACTCATCTGTGTGTAGCACACTTCATAAATGCAGATTGTATAAATTGTAAGAACAAGTCCAGTGCAAATGTGCTACACTGATGCAATTGTCAGTTAAAGTGTCAGCGAGATGAAAGAGTTTGTTTTCTACAGGTAGTTTGTCAAACCCACTCACCTATGTGAGGAACATTCACAATTAATAACGGTTGTTGTGTGGTGAAGTGGGGGAGAGACAGAAGGTTCTGTTCACGGGGGTTCAAGTCTGAGATAGGTTTTTAGTTGTTGTTAGAATGACAAATTTAAAAATGTGTAGTATGAACTTAGTTGGACTGCAAGCCTGGATTTTGGAAGGATCTTGCACACTTTTTTTGGTTGGTCAAGCTGACATAACTGGTCAGGTCTCATAACCAGTTGACCAAATCAGATATAATTTGATAAAAGCAGGCCAAACCAGATAACAGTTGATCATCCCTGACCAACTACATCCATCTTAAATAAGGTAAAACCAATCAATCTATCTGTGGCTAACTTTATTTTGAGTCCACTTTAGACATTCCAATAATGTCAAGCCCACTCCAGTGCAAATGTGCAACACTGATGCAAGTGCCGGCTAAAGTGTCAGAGAGATGTAAGAGTTTGTTTTCTACAGGTGGTTTGCCAAACCCACTCACTAAGGGACACTCACAATGATTACGGTTGTTGTGTGGTGAGGTGAGGGAGAGACAAGAGGGCTTCAAATAGGCATATCAAAACACAAGCATATAGACAACTAAAAAACACAACAGTGTAACAAACAACTATATTACTTTATTCCAACATTAACTTCAACAAATAAGATGGGTAGGCACAAAGTGTGTAGCACAGCAAGTTCATTGTTTAATTTTGGAAAGCACCACTCAGAGATCATCCTCTGCATTCAGTTGCAATCTGTATTTATTTTTAATCTACACGAGTGCAAAAAAGTTCTTTTTGTGCAAGTAAGCAGTGCAAAACAACATCAGTATATCTACAGTGGCCTTGAATAGTTAGAATTCTCGACTGTGATCTGAAAATTTGCTCTAAACTGATGCAACTGCTGTGTACTTAATCTAAAGTAATCACCACAGGCGTTGTAATCCAACAACAACACTGAATAAATAAATAAATCAAAAGGCTTATGGCTTCTTATTTATAACTTTTTAAAAATCTTTTGTTATTTGTGGGACAAAGAGTTATTGGCGATTCTTTTTTATAGTAGATTCATGCAGTCTGCAACCTCCTGCTGCCGATCCATAGTGCAATATAAACAAGCAGCAACTGAATTTAACACCAGATAGTCATTTAGTGTGAAATCAGCCAAATTTATAAATTACCCAATGTAAACTCAGTTGGACTACAAGCCTAGATTTTTCACAAGGCTGATTTTTCTAGGGTCTTGTGCACTTTATTTAGTTGGTCAAAATGATATAACCGGATACAAACCTGACCAAACCAGATAAACGGTGATAAAACCAGACCAAACCAGATAATATTTGATAAAACCAGACCAGCTACATCCATCTTAAATAAGATAAGACTAATCAATCCTTGTGTGGTAACACTTTATTTCGATAGTCCACTTTAGACATTCCTATAACTATACGCAACTCTGTAACTACATGCCAAACTAGCAGTTATTATAGTATTAGAAGACTATCTGCATTGCATATGCTAGCACATATGCTTTTTTTTGGGATGGACCCCAACAGATATTCTGTTAACTATAAGTAACTTCACAGCTACATGTCAGCTTAATCTTAACCCTAAAACTATACCTACTGTAACTTAATCTGCTAATGCACTGCTAACACTAGTATGCTATTGCAGCGTGTACCAACACACTAACATCAGAGTCGACCAAGATTAGACACAGTGTCTTTTTGAGAGTGCTGTCAAATCAGATAAAGTCGAACAAAAATCATCCTTGGTACATTTCACTGAGAGAGAAAGCGGTGACTCAACATTTTTGTAGGGAAGTTGGCAAGTTTCATCAGAATGTGACCTTGGGTCAGAGCTGCTTCCTGCCCACTGCCAGGCTTTACTGATAACCAAGCTCAAACCTCACCCAGAGCGTCCTCTGTACAAACATCTCCCTCATCTCCACTCTTCCCTTCTCTCCTTCCTCCCCTGTACAGATAACAGACACACATCTGGGTCTGTACTCATAAAGCGCTGGGATACAGCTCCAAGATCAGACCTCTCCTTTTTTAAATTGATCTCAGTAACTATGTGCTGAAAAATTGAGCAGATCCAAAGACACTGCTCTGGATCCATCCCCAAGATGCAGACTTCTTCTGGATTCTCCTGCTTTGCGTAATTGTCTTTTGCCAAAAAGCCCTGAGTGACTTCAGACTTTCCATTTCAACAGAGCTCATTTTCCTTGGCAGGACAACTTATGTCGGATAGAGCCAGGACATTGTCAAACCTCCAAGAGAGAAAAAGTGAGAGAGAAAGAGAGAGAAGAAGAAGAAGAAGAAGAAGAAGAAGAGAGAGAGAGAGAGAGAGAGTGTGTGTGTGTGTGTGTGTGTGTGTGTGTGTGTGTGCAAGTGTGAGGAATTGCTGGAGAGGTGTGCTGTTACATTATTTGAGTCAACTATGAACGCACAGCAGCGTTTAAAGAATTAATTGGCCAGACCCTTGCAGTAAAACAAAGCCAGGAACAGTTGCGGCCACTAATGTAAACATTGCAGTCTTCTGAACTGACTCTTCTTGTTCAGCACATCTCTGAACAGTTTCATCTGAACATGTCATTCCAATAAGTAGGCCCATAAATAATGGCTTCTCATTTTTGGTTCCTGTAAGAGTGTTCTCTTTTTGTACCTATTAGTGTCTCAGTTTTGAGGTGATCTACTAAATCATTAGTGGGTCTCAAAATGTGCTAACTTTTTAAAGATACTTACATACAAGCATACTTTACATACATACATACTGTTGGCTGGAAAAAAAAAAAAACATATGCTCAGTCTGAAAACGTAGCCCTATATACATGGAGTTATATTTTGGAGTTTGTCCAGTTAGCTCACCATATATTGAGTTGGTCACGATAACAGGGTTTGAGTCTGGCAAAGACCAGTTCCGAAAGCAGGTAAGACAAAAACAGTAAAAAAAAGTAAAAAAAAAAAAGTAAAAAATATAAAATAAACACGTAAATCTGAGAATGTGGTAAAAATCAGGCAATTTTTATTTTCTTTTTCTGGACTGCTTTTTAAAACTGTCGGTTGGGTTTAGGGAAGTGGGTGGGCGTGTCAATCAGTGCTTTTGAAAACACTATTGGTTGGGTTTAGGGAAGGAGGAGGGTGGCTCAGTCGATTGGTCAGTCAATCAGTTAGTGGCCTCTGGTGGATTTACGTGAGAACAGTAGGTGCAAATGGCACTTGCGAGAAAAATTTGAGATCTAAAAAAATGTACACTTTGACCTCTGATGGATTCGCGAAAACAAAACTTGCAAAATAACTCAGCTCCTGGGACGTATTTGATGATCTCTAGAAATGTGTGTAACTACTGTCAGGATTTACTATAGACTCTCATTAAATAAAAACTCATTTTAATACGTTAATCAGATTTCAGCTTTTTAAGTTACACAAAATTTAACCCAATGTTTAAAGTCAGATTCATTGATGTAAGTGGACATTTTTTTTACCTTAATAATGTGCAATAGCAAAGAAAAAAAAAACTAAAGTTACTTGAAAAAATTATAAATTATTAAAGGAAAGTCAAAGGTGTCCCAAAAGCTTTGATGAAACACTACAACAAATGGATGTTGGAGAGTTCACAGAGTCAGTGATCATCCAAGGACTCTCGATCAAACTAACTGACCTCTTGGCCACCCATTTAACACACCTAGTGGAGATCTATCATCAGTGGTTGTATAGAGATTTTGGCATTAAGACTACAATAATAAACATTTCAGACAAGATGTTGATGTATGAAATCCTTGAATGCTCTTCATGGGTGAAATGGCCTTCTTTTTTAGCCTTACAATCAATGCTTTGTGTGAAAATTCATCTGCGCTTCACAGCGTTTAAAGAAAATAAACACTACCGAACGTCCTGCAGATTCCTCAAATTTAGTTCAGAAATCAGGGCTTCTGCATTTTCCACTTGCCTTCAGAAAGTGAACCAGGAGTGAACACGCTCACTTAAACATCTGCAATTGATTTGAGCGGAGCCTGGAACCCCTCTGTTTAAATCTGTCAGTGCTAGAAGCACATAGGTTAGTATTTACTAACCTCATGTGGGACCTACTCGCCTCTTGCCATACAGGTGACAGCAGGTCAAGTCTTCGTGTCTGCGAATGGAAAGTCTGTCAAATGTCTATGGTCATTTATCACGTATATGGAACACCAAATTGATCCAAAAATTGTCCTTTTGGACTTGCAGAAGATAAAGAAAGTACACTGCAAAAAAAATCTTATCTAGTCAAGAGATACAATCTAATTTCTGGACAAAAATTCTGGATGATTTTCTATACATCTATACACAACACAATACCATGTGAGCTCAGATTGTAAAGTTATTGTGACTATTTTAAGATTATTATTATTATTATTTTAGTTAGTAAAGCCTAAAGTTCGGTTTTGTACCTGCACATGTACCTTAATTACAATTAGAGACATAATTTAAGTATTTTAAAGACTTATTTTATATGTAATAGCTTGTTTTAAAGGGGACCTATTGTGCAAAAATAACTTTTATAAGGGGTTTGAACAAAGTAGTGTGAAAACAGTCTGTGAATATAACCAGCGTCTAATGGTAAAAATGTGTTAATTTTATTTCTTAAAATCACATTTTATAAAAACAGGCTGCAGAAACTTTGATTGACATTCTCTCTTTGTGCATGATATCAGAGGGGGAGGTCCCACACATTAGTGACAATCTCTCCCTGTATAGGACAGACCTGGATTGGCTAATCTGGAGGAACGGGAGTATTCCCGGTGGGCCGGTTTGTTTTTTGACCGCAATTGCCAGTGTCCCTAGCTGCTTGCACTCTCAGCAATCACACTTTTTTCATTTATTTATTTATTTGTGTCACCGACTCGGTCCCAGTCATTCCCCTCGCTGACCAGCAGAGGTCACCATCTCCGGACTTCTAACCATTACGTCATCCTTCTCACTCAGATCCCAGCACACCTGTTCTCCATCTCACTAATGACCCACGTACCACATATAAGCAGCTCACACACACACTTCATTGCGAAGTCTTGTTTAGCCCCGGCCAGCATTTCTGAGCGTTCTATCCTGCCTGATCTCCCGTTTACCACTTCAGCCCGTTCCTCGACTCTGCTCTGTCTTCTGCCTGCCCTTGACCTAAAGCCTGATTACACGGACTCTGATTCTCGCTGCCTGCCCCTGACCTTAAGCCTGTATTACGGACTCTGAACCACGCTGCCTGCCCTTGACTCAAGCCTGGTAATCACTCTGCCTCTGTTATCTGCTAATCACCGTTGAGTTGTATGTTGTATGTTCGCACAGCCGTGCGAGGAGTTGATGTTTAAGTGTGACTTAATAAATACTGCAAAATGGATCCCTCCGTGTCAGTCTCCCCGTTACAGAAGACTTCGCCCAACACGGATCCCGCAGCCATCCAGGTTTTGTCTCACGAAGTCACAACACAAGCTCAGGTATTGTCAACCCACCAACAACAACTAACACACCTAACTCAGTTAACAGATGAACTGGTGAAATCCCTCCAAAACCTGCAAGCTGCTGTCACTGCGCAACCCACCGCCAACTACTCTCCAAGTCCACTTGTTGTTGCACAACCCCCGATGACTTCCGGAGTTCGATTGGCTTTTCCTGACAAGTTCTCAGGTAACCCAGCAAAATGTAAAGGCTTTCTATTGCAATGCAAACTGTTTATCGCCCAACAACCCCATCTGTTTAAGGACGAGAACGGGAAAATTGCTTTTGTGTGCTCACTGCTCACTGGGAAAGCGCTAGACTGGGCTACTGCAGTTTGGCCAGACAGTACCCCGATATTTCCCTCGTTTAATGACTTTCTCAAACGTTTCTGCACTGTGTTCGATCATCCGGAGGGTGGTCGTAACGCTGGCGAGGAGCTATTGTGTATCCAACAGGGAGATCGCTCCGCAGCTGAGTTAGCCCTGCAGTTCCGCACCTTGGCAGCGCAAACTGGCTGGGCTGACGATCCGCTTGTCACGCTCTACAGAAGGGCTCTAAAGCCAGAATTGCAGCAAGAGATGGCATGTCGTGACGATGGGAAAACTCTGGATCAACTAATCGAGCTTTCCATAAGGTTAGACACTCTCCTCCGCACTCGCAATCCGCTCTGCTCAATTGCTTCCAGTCCTGTATCCCCTGAAACCTCCGCTGAACCCATGCAATTGGGTAGAACAAGTCTGAACCCAGAAGAGCGAGAACGACGGAGAAAAAATCACCTGTGCATTTACTGCGGACTTCCAGGTCATACGAAGGTTTTATGTCCCAACAAGCCTCTCCCTAGAACCCTCTCGGTGAGTGCAACCACTATGTTCACTACCACTAATAATGTTGTGAATCTACCTGTCACTTTGAGAAACGATGGAGATGAGATTGAGACTATGGCCATGATCGATTCAGGAGCCGCTGGTAACTTTATTGATTACACGTTTGCCACCACTCACTCCATTCCTTTAACCTCCTGTGATTCCTCCATAGCCATCACTGCTATAGATGGGCGCCCTTTGGGAGAAGGACGTATAAAATTCCAGACCCTGCCAATGTTGCTTCAAACAGGCTCTCTCCATGAAGAAGAAATTTCCCTTCTTGCCATCAACTCCCCTAAACACTCTGTGATTCTTGGGTTACCATGGCTACAACAGCATGACCCTCAAGTCTCTTGGAGAACTGGTGAGATCATAAAATGGAGCAATCAATGCTTTACCCAATGTCTGCATCCTGTTTCCCCTATCCAGATCAACACAATTAACAAGACCGAAGACTCTGAACTCCAGCATGTTCCTGATGCGTATCACGATCTCACTGAAGCATTCAATAAGCAGAAGGCTACTAAGCTCCCTCCTCATCGTGATAATGACTGTGCCATTGAGCTGCTACCCGGCACCACGCCCCCTCGTGGTCGCATCTTCCCTCTCTCACAACCTGAAACTGAGGCTATGAAGAAGTACATCTCTGAGGAGCTAGAGAAAGGATTCATTCGACCATCTACTTCTCCCGCTTCAGCAGGGTTTTTCTTCGTTAAGAAGAAGGATGGCAGCTTACGCCCTTGCATTGATTACCGAGGCTTGAATGAGATCACAGTCAAATACCGCTACCCATTACCATTGGTTCCTGCCGCCCTTGAACAACTCCGATCCGCCCAGTATTTCACTAAGTTGGACCTCCGTAGTGCCTATAACCTCATCCGCATACGACAGGGAGACGAGTGGAAAACCGGGTTCTCTACAATTGACGGCCACTATGAATATCTCGTTATGCCCTTCGGCCTAGCAAACAGTCCTTCCGTGTTCCAGGCATTTGTAAATGAGATATTTAGAGACATGCTCAACAAATGGGTCATAGTATATATTGACGACATCCTGGTCTATTCCAATTCGCTATCTGAGCATATCCAGCACGTTCGGGCAGTGCTCAAACGTCTCATTAAAAACCAACTTTATGCAAAAAGCTCCAAGTGCGAATTCCACCAGACCTGCATCTCATTCCTGGGCTACATTATCAGTCCAGAAGGCGTGGCCATGGACCAGCAAAAGGTTGACTCTGTGACACAATGGCCGCAACCCGAAACCATCAGGCAACTACAACGATTCCTGGGCTTTGCTAACTTCTACAGGCGCTTCATACGGAACTTCAGTTCAGTCGCTGCCCCACTGACCGCCATGGTCAAAGCCAACAATGCTCGCCTTAAATGGAACCCCGACGCTGTCCGAGCATTCACCCAGCTAAAGACTCGCTTCTCCAGTGCACCCATTCTGCGTCATCCTGATCCCGAACAACCCTTTGTAGTCGAAATTGACGCGTCCAACACTGGAATTGGAGCCATCCTGTCCCAACGATCCCTAGTGAATAAGAAGCTCCATCCCTGTGCATTCTATTCTCGCAAGCTTAACTCCGCTGAACGGAACTACGATGTGGGAAACCGAGAACTCCTCGCCATGAAAGCTGCGCTAGAGGAATGGAGACACTGGCTTGAGGGCGCAAAACACCCTTTCATCGTCATCACTGATCACAAGAACCTAGAATACATCCGGTCTTGTAAACGTCTGAATCCTAGACAGGCAAGATGGGCGCTGTTTTTCACCCGATTTGACTTCCAAGTCACCTATATCCCTGGTTCGAAAAACATCAAAGCAGATGCTCTGTCCCGCCTCTCAGACGATGAGACCTCTGAAATCCCTGACGAGCCCATAATCAAAAGTCCTCTAATTGTCGCTCCCATCCAGTGGGATATAGATCAGGAGATCCTCCAAGCCGCCGAAAATAATCCTTCTCAGCAGCCCTGTCCGGAGAATAAAATCTTTGTTCCCCCGTCGCTTCGAGAAAGACTCATCTCCGAGGTACATGACCACCCCAGTTCCGGTCACCCAGGCAGCACAGCCACTGTGCAAATGATTCAATCCCGCTACTGGTGGTCATCCATACACAAGGATGTAATCAACTTCATTAACAAATGCTCACCCTGTCAGATGTCCAAACACTCCCGTCACCGTCCAGCTGGATTACTCCAACCCCTGGAGGTGCCACATCGCCCCTGGTCACACATCGCTATAGATTTCATCACCGATTTACCCATATCTCAGGGCAAAACCACCATCCTCACCGTAGTGGACCGGTTTTCAAAATCCTGTCGCCTTATCCCCATTTCCAAACTGCCCACAGCCATGGAAACGGCCGAATTACTCTGCGAGTGTGTGTTTCGATACTATGGTCTCCCCGAAGACATCGTGTCGGATAGAGGTCCCCAGTTTACATCCCGACTCTGGTCAGCATTCTTTAAAAATCTCCAAATCAACGTTAGCCTAACATCCGGCTATCATCCCCAATCCAACGGGCAAACAGAGCGCCTGAACCAAGAAATCGGCAGATTCTTCCGCACGTATTGTCATTCGAACCAGAACGAATGGGCCAAATTTTTGATGTGGGCAGAATATGCTCAGAACTCCCTCAGAAAGGCATCTACAGGACTAACCCCATTTCAATGCGTGCTGGGCTTCCAACCCCCGCTCTTTCCCTGGTCCGGTGAGACCTCTGAACTCCCTGCAGTGGATACCTGGTTTAAAAACTGCGAAGAGGTCTGGAACGCAGCTCATACTCACCTCTCTCACGCCA